TGCCCCCAGTTTTCTTTTTGTTTTTCAACATTTCCTTAGCGATTCGGGGTCTCTTCTGATTCCATACAAATTTCTGGATTATTTGCTCCAGCTCTTTGAAAAATACCATTGGAATTTTGATCGGAATGGCATTAAAAGTATAGATTGCTCTAGGCAGTATCTTTTTTCTAATCGGATTTTTATTACACAGAAATACACGTTTTTTATTCTTGCTCTTGCATCCAGTAACTTGGCTATTGTACACTTATTAATTCTTGGTATTTTACATCCTTTCGGATATTCTCCATATAGAACATGTCCACTGTGAACAATGACAACCTCAGTCCTTCTTCTCCAAAATGTATACTTATTACTGTTTACTGACAGTTTTCAGTTCCTCCAGTATGTTCTTGAAAACACAGCAGACACCATGTCTTATTTAAAACTCAAGAAGAAAGAGTTGGGTCATCATTAAATACAACATTTGTGTACATTTTGCGGGAGGGGGAGATAAGCTTTCTTACGTTAAAGAAGTTGCCTTTCATCCGAAGTTGCTGAGGATTTTTACCATGAGTAAGTATCCAGCGTCAACCCATTTATTGCAGTGGCGCTGTGCGTTTTCCCCAGTTTTTTGCTGTTTATGTAGTACATTTCACTGATAAATTTTCCAGGGTGAAACCAGTCTTCCTTCCAGCAATAGACCCCAAAACCCCATGACCTTTGGTTTTTTTTTTTATGTCCTGTGTAATTTCATTTGCTAACTATTGTTGAGGAGTTGTGTGTCTATATTCAGGAGAGAGATCTGGGTCTCTCGTTTTTCTTCCACTGTTTTTGGTAGATGTTAGTAACACATTTATATTGGCATCAAAGTGAATAGGGAACTCACACCCTTTCTTCCCTTTTCTGAAAGAGTTTGCATACTGGTATTATATCCATCCGGAATGTCTGAAGCACTCTTCAAGAGAGCCTTTAGGTGTTCAGATTTTCTGTTTCTTCTTGGTGACTTTTGGAATGTTTCCTTGTTCTAGGAAAGTGTCTATGTCGTCTCAGTTCCCAAATTTGCTATAAAGTCATTCTGGGTGTTCCCGTTGTCTTTCACAGCGCTCCCTTCTGAATGCAGGGCTCAGACTCCTGCTTGGTGGCTAGTATTGTTATCTGTGGCTAAACTGTCCTCAATAATGATGCGAAAAAGCCATCTTGGTCTGTTCAGGCTGCCATAGCAACATGGCAGAAACTGGGAAGGTGGCAGGGACAGAAATGTGTTGCCTAGGGCTGGGGAGGCTGGGACACCAGGACCAGGCTGCCGACACCAGGGTGATCTAGGGAGGTCAGTGGCCTAGTTCAGAGTCAGGCAACATCATTCTGCCCTGTTGGAAGGCTTGGTGTTTCTGCAGCCTCCTTTCTGAGGCACTGATCCGGTTCAGGAGTGGGCCACTGTCTGCACTTCAGCACCTGCCGAAGGACCCGGATGCCTCCTGATAGCAGCTTCCCTGGGGGTTTGGATTTCAACACAGGCTGTTGGGGAGACACAAGTGTCAAAACACAGCATAGCTCTCACTATAGTCTTTTTGCCTCTTCCTCCATGGACAGACCTCATTCATTTGCAGCAGTGTTTCTTTTCTAACAGAATGTGAAATTGTAAGCTTCCCCCTCCCATTTCATGTGTCCCACAGAATCAGTCATGTGATGTTTGCTTAGAGTTCAATAGTGAGTATTGATTTAGAAGTATGTTACAAACTTTTGGAGTACCTTTCGTTGTGTTGGCAAGAAGTACTTCTTTAATTTCAATTTGTTTAGATATCATAGTCTACATGAAATTAAGGATTGGGGTTTTGGTATCACCATTGCCAATGTTTGCCTGCTTGAGAAGAAATTATATTCTGATTAATGAATACAGGATCCTATGTGAGGCCACGGTCAAACCTATTGGGGGTGGTATCTTTCAATCTATGCATTTGCTGTCTGGGGCCTGAGCGGAGGAAATTGGCACATTCTGCTTGATGCCCCCCATAGAGCAAAATGATTGTTGGAGGCGGACATGTGCACAGAAGGATTCCATCACAGCAAACGTTAGGACTTCTTGTGGGAGTGCTACAGAAGGATGTAACCTCATTCTTCTGCTACACAGGACTTGAGTAGCAGGTAACTGAGGAGCCCTGGCAGCCACTTTGCAATCATGAGGAGGAGCCAGAACTCGGATGACGTGGCTTCAAAATGCAGAAGAGAAACCTGGGGAAGGGACCAGGCCCTTGGTCATATTACTGATACAGGGTTCAGCTCATTTGATGCTAACCTCCACTTAGCTGTTGGCTTCTTGTATCATTTTAGCCAAAACAGGAGAGGTTTATGCTCCTGCGATTGAAAGCACCTTATGCAAAACAGTGTTCATGGTGGCAAGCAAAGGAGCAAACACAAGATACATTTGGGAATGGAAGAAATTGTACCAGCTGGCAACAACCACTTTTCACATTCAGTATGCCCAAAGCCTGGCTTCTCCTCATAGAATGGCAATGTTCTTGTTAGATTTGGATCTCAGTGTGAAAAACGCCCATTTGCCAATGCTCCCCCAGGGTGCACAGGCTCCACTTTTCACAATTCAGAGCCTGCAGAGCAGCTGTGAGAAGGAGAAGGGCTCATTCTGCCCTTCTGTAGATGGGTGCCATGGAGGATGCCAGGAGGGAAGCCCGAGAAACTAAAGGAGGGGCGGCTCCTGGGCTGGACCGGACTCAGCTTTGAGGACGAATCAGCCTCCTGTGCTGCTCAACCCTCACGTGCTCGCATTAGTCCAGGCCCGGACCATCAACATTTCTGGTTCCAGTGCAATGATAATGTTGCATGTAAGGGGAAATGCAATGAAACTTTTGTAGTTAAAATGTTACTAAGGAAGTTGGCAGGGGGCGATAGTTCTCAGAAAAAATGGATTCACACCCAGCAAGGTCAGAAGACACAGACAGATAAAGAAGCACGTCCGTTGTGGGATGAGGGAAGTAGCCACAAGCCGACCCCACTGCTTTTCCACTGGTGGCTCCTGCTTCGTGGTTCCTTGTGAATGTGGGCCACAGATTTCAGTGTCCCTCGGTCCTCCTTCTGACCCCTCTTGACGTGACCTGCCCCTCCCTCATCTCGTTGCTTTCATGAGATGGTCCTCTGCCGAGTAAAGGCATTTTGATGAAGGATGGTACTGCAGGCTGGGGGCTAGTGAGGCGGGAGAAGGCACCTGCGCCTGGCCAGCCACCCTTCATGGGAATCTTTGTGCTCGCTGATTGCTCCTGAGCCCCACACCTACCCTTCCTTACCTTGTATCCAGTTTTTGCCAGAATTCTGCCTTTGTTGGGGGAGTTTCTGAGAGCACGTGGCCTCCTGTTGACCCCAAGTTGGCCGCGGGCTATCGGAAGGCCCTCATCCCTTCCCCTGTCCTTGAACGTAAGTTCCTCTCCGTCGTGGGAGCTGTCACACAGTTCCAGCTTCAGAGGGAGTGCTGTTGGGCCCATCTGGACAGTGCCTGGGATGAAGCCCACGCAGGCGACTATATAAACTTTAAAGGTCCTGCCTGGCAGTGCGCAGATCTCCTCGTGGGGCCGCCCAAGACCAGCCTGGTATGTATGTTCCTTGCTTCTTAGACCCGCCAGGACCCAGGAGGAGTGGCCTGCCTCCTTCGTGGTCTGTCCTTGTCTTCCCTGTCAGGGGCCAGTGGCTGATTTCACCCAGATGCTCAGCAGTGAGCTCGCAGGGGCCAGAGGCCAGGTGAGCAGAGACATGGGTCTGGACCTTTCTACAGGGAGGCCACTCCTAGTCAGCAGAGGAAGCAATCCAACTGTGGGTGTAGGCAGAGAGCCCCCAAAGGAGCCACGTGCATGCTGAAGAAATGCCTGGCTGATGGCTCAGGACGCATTGTGGAAGAGGGAAGGTGCAAGATTGTAAGAGCCAGGCCCCACAGGTGGAATGCTTGCATTCTTTCTCATGTTTTTCTTTAAACTCCATTTAGGTAACATAGAGATGCTATTAGTGTCAGGTGTAGAACTGAGTGATTCCACACGTCTGTACAACAGCCGGTGCTCATCACACCAGTGCCCTCCTTCATCCCTGTCACACACATGTCCCCAAGCCCACCTCCCCTCCAGGACCCTGAGTTTGTTTTCTGCACTTAGGAGTCTGTTTTCTGGTTTGCCCTTCTTTCCCTCACCCCGTGGTCATCTGTTTGTTTCTTAAATTCTGCATGTGAGCGAACTCGTTTGCTGTTTGCCTTTCTCTGACGGACTTATTGAGCTTAGCATTCTGCTCTCTAGCTGCACCCACGTCATTGTGCATGGCAAGATTTCATTGTTGTTGACAGCAGAGTAATATTCTGCTGTAGACGTACGCCGTGTCTTCTTTTTCCATTTACCAGTCAGTCGTCAGTCTGGCTCTTCCCAGAGTTCAGCTACTGTTGGCAATGCTGCTGTAAACATCGGGGTGCAGGTACCCCTTCAAATCAGTATTTTTGTGTTCTTTGGGTAAATACCTGGTACTGCAAATGTTGGGTCATAACGTAGTTCTATGGTAGTGTCCTGAGAGACCTCTGTCCTCTTTCAGAATGGTTGCTTTTTTGTCATTAATGGAACATGTTTCTTGATGCTCCTCAGGAAGTGATGAGTGATAAAGCAGAGGAGTCCGCTGTTGGGCCCAAAAGCCAAGTGAAACGTTCTGGAAAATCCAGCACTCTGCCTCCATTTAAGAAAAGGCTGAGCATGCCGCTGCTGTCAGTGAGAGAGGAAGGAGAGGGATCATCCCAGCCTGGGGACTCAGCCGTGTCCTCAGAAGATGGTGAGGATGCCCTGCCCGTCCTCCCCTCCTCTCCCTGACCTGGATCAGGGCAGCCCTGCCTCTGGCTCCTTCATGCCTCAGGGTCAGTTCTGATCAAGGTCACTGGCTTTGGGTGAGGCTGCCATTAATTTCCCAGCCACACTGGACCAGGTGATCACTCTGTCCTTCATGGAGACATTCCTGGCTTCCCAAACTGCATTCTAGAGATTTTCTTCTCCTTTCTGATCTCCTTTCTCTCCTCTTAACACTGTCACCGTTCCTGAGTCCCACCGTTATACTGTCCCTCATTCCACACTGCCTCATCACTCAGCAAGCTGCTCCAGAGCTTCTGAGCTTGCGTCCTGCTTTCCCACCTGAACGTGTGTAGCCCATTTGTTACCATGTACCCAGGGTGACCACGTCCACACAGAAATCAGATCATCACATGCATATCCTGAAACCCATCATTAATTCCCCAAGCACTCAGAACAGAGTCTGAGCTCCTGACGCTGGTCTCCAGACCTTGCACCTCCTGACCCTGCCATCCTCTCCTGCTATCTTGTGTCCTCTCTGTGTCATCCTTGCTCTCTCTGTGTCTGACCCTTATTCTGTGGCCCAGGCTTGTCCCCTTGCATAGGCAGTGCATGGCCTTCACGGCAGCCAGGCTGCCTCTGTGTGTGTGCACAGGCCGTCTCTGTCTCCTGCTCCTGGCTCTGCCCAGGGGTCACCTCTTCAGACCGCCCTGCCTGACCACGCATTATGGAGGCCTCCTCTCCCACTCTGGCTCACATCCCTGCTGACTTCTTCCTAACACAAAATCAAACCATGTTATTCCCTTTGCCCATTGTACATGTACTCTCTGATGTCCATAGTGGTTATAACTTCCAAAAGGAAAGGGTTCTTCTGTCTGGTTCACTGCTGATCCCCATTCTTGGCTTGATGCTTGGCACAGAGGAGCATGAGTGAATGAAGTAGATGTGTCAGACTTGGAGTAAAAAAAAAAAAAATTATCTCCTGAGACCAAAAAAAAAAAAAAGCCAGATGAGGAAGATCATTTACTGACTGGGATCTCTAGTGATTTAGTGCCAGTATCAGGCATCGTGACATCAAGTGACACGTTCAGCTCTTCTCCTTGTAGAGTGCATCAAGGGAACACTGAATCCTGAGTCCCAGGGCTCTGTGAATGTTTGTTGATTAGTTGTATTGTCCAAGTCTGTTGCTGTGTGCATGTGTAGTGACAAGAATAGAAGAGGCTTCTTTGTTGTATTGTTTTTCATGAGGTCAAATTTTCAGTACTGATACATCTAGCTGGTGTATTCTCCTGCTGCGAAAAGAAGTATTAGAGACTGTGAAGCACATGGATGTGCGTATGGGGTTGCTGAAATGCACATCATTGCAGCTCCTCATTCAGTGAGGTTTCCAGAGGCACCTGTCGTTCCCAGTATGCACGGGGCGGGGAGGGGAAGTGGTCGATCCCCACCTGATGGCTTCTGGTCAAAATCTGATCTCCAGAGCTTGTGAGTATGGCAGGAGACGGTATTCCACACAATTAGATTCTTTGTGTCCTGACTTAGCCAGGGTCAACAAGGGTGGGCTGATTCACAGACCTGGTAGTGATGCACTGGTGGGAGGAATCTTTCCCAGCTGTCTCTCTGCAGATGAGCCCAAGGGCACAGCAATGTCTGTGTGGGAAGATGTGCCAGATCAACTGCCAATACCAGTGAAAATCAATATGGATATAAAACTGCAATTGAAGAAGGAAATTCGATATTTTGAAGGCAGTAAGTAGAGTAACAATTTCTGTCCATGAAACCACAGGAAGTCTTTCCCATTCTCTGATCCAGACTAGATTCCACTGACCTCATCCTTTGCCAGAACTGGGTTTTCCCCATTAGAATGGTTCCTCTTTATTTTGACTGAAATGTCCCAGTAAACCTTTTTCTCTTGTTCTTTTGTATTTCTTAATTGGTTATTGTGTACTAGATTCCGTTGGTGGATATATTCGGATGTCTGAAAGTAAGGATGGAACACACAGGTACTCTGTAACATTCTAGCCCTTGAATGATCACTGAGTCTCCAAGACTGAGTTCTGTCTTCTCTTTGTACTTTAGAAATACTGAAGGGTTTTTTTTTTCCCTAAATATCTTCAGAATACGAAAAAATCCTCAAATTGCTTGAGGGAGTGCAAGGACCTCCAGAAGTGCAGAAAAGATTTGCTGTATATGCCATGAAGGAAGCAGCAAGGTGAGTGTAGGAGGAACTGTCCAGAATGTTTCACAGAGGGCCAGTGGGCTGCTGGGTGAGGGGTGGGTTTGGGCCCTGCCTGACTTTTCTCAAACCCTGATCCTCACTCAGAGTTCATGTTGTCTCCACTTATTTAGATTGATATTATCTGAGTCTCACTCATTCTTGCAAGCTCAAAGAACCTTCTGTTCACACCCAAGTTTGAGGTGGGCCTTGACCTTGAACGGGCACTCTCTATCTACTGGATTGTCCTGTACCATGCAGATGTGTTTTCTGTTCTCCTGTAAACTGAGCTTCTCTTTGTATTTTCCACAGTGCGTCCTACAACATAGATTCTTTGGGTATCATTTGGTTAACGACTTGTCTCTTTATTTTCAGATTTAAAAGAGAAGGCTTAATAAGTCACCTTGAGAAGGTACTAGAGAAAATAGAATGCAACCAGTTTCTCAACAAAGGTGATGGCTCCCCAAGCTTGTAATCCCATTATCGCAATCATCAATGAGAAAGCAGAGCCAGTTGGCTGTCCTGGAATGCGACCAGATATTGTTGATGCCTCCTAGCATGATTAGCTAAGAAATTGTCTTCTTGGGGCTAAGGGAAAGCGTTGCAACTTTCATGTTATAAGTTTCTGTTAGTAAAAGTTGGCCTTTTGCCCTAAGTGTTTTGTCTCAATGGATTGTTTGTTTGTTTGTTTTCCTTCTGAAGTGGGGGACACTGTTTAGTCATGAGGGTATACTACATCCTAGGTTCTCTGCAGGTCACAAGTCTGTATTTGGTATTTATTATCGTCTTCTATACCAGCCATTTCTTTTTCTTTCTTTCTTTCTTTTAAGAGAGGAAGGGCCATGAGGAGCAGAAGGAGAGGAAAAAGTATATTTTTAAGCAGGTTCCACACGTAACACACATCCTAAGGTAGAGCTTGATCTCACAACCCTAAGATCATGACCTGAGCCTAAATCAAGAGTCAGTTGCTTAACTGACTGAACCACCTGGGCACCCTGTTTTTTTTTTTAACTTTATTTAAGTAATGTGTACCCCCAGTGTGGGGCTGGAACTCAGAACCCTGAGATCAAGAGTCCTGTGCTCCACTGACTGATCCAGCCAGCACCCCATACACTGTCCATTTCTTATTTGTTTTACCTGAGACAGCCCCTCAGCTGGTCATGTGGCTTGGCCTGAGGGCACGATGATTCACCACTTACTTACTAACATACCTGACCATTAGATGTCCTGCCTGAACTGAGTTGTTATAATATGCCTTTGACTTCAATCACCAAATGACAGTGCTGAGAAAAACCCAAACATCGTAGACAGTCCTCCTCTGGGTCTTGCGTCATGGCAGCCCTGTGTCCTTACCAGTCAGGTTCCATTTCCCCACACTGTGCAGGACCCCCATGTTTGCCTGATGACTGAGGGAGAGGCGCAATCCAGCCTGAACCCTGGGCAGTGTCGCTGTCACTAGATTGCTGACAGTCAGTGAATGACCCATCTTGAAGTTCTTGGTGCCCCAGAGCTTGTAGCTTCTCCTGAGTAGTGGATCATGAGTGTTTCCTCTAAGCAGTGCTACTGGGGGGAACATGTTGCCAAGCACCTCAGATGCGCCAGGGTCGGCTTTGGCTTCTTACCATCCTTCTCACCTCAACCCCACAGCCACCTTATGCGGCAGCAGCCACAACGCCCAGTTAACACGTGAAGAAACTGAGCCCCCAGAGAGCATGTCCTTTGTCCAGGTCAGATAGCTGGTTGGAAGCTGAAGTCAGGGTTGACCCCAGGCCTTTTTGATTTCCTGTACTGCAATTGAACATTTGGGAGGGATCCTCCCCTCCCAACACCAAGTCATTCTCATACACCAGCAGGGTATCTGAGAATTCAACTCAACGCTGACACAATCCACCCAGAGCTAGAATCAGATTCCACAAGTTAAGGGTTCTGTCCTCCAAGACTGCTCCAACCCCCAGTTCAGACATGAGTTGCAAGCTCCAGGCTGTTATCTATGCTTCTGACTGGCTATGGATTGGAGATTCCAATGACCTCCTTAGGTTTGGTTAATTTGTTAGAGCAGCTCACACAATTCAGGGAAACAATCGTAAGTTTCAACCCTCTAATTGTGTGGTTAGTCCTCCTGGCAATCAGCCCCTGCCCTTGGGTAGAGTCCAAAAGTCACCTTCATTAATAAGACCCTTATGGCTCTGAAGTGTTCTTAGGAACTGTGGATGAGGATCAAATATATCTGAGAAATATATTTTAGTCACTGGAATGACCAAATATACATCCATTATCAATTATTACATTGTACTAGCTGTCCATCACTCTATTTCCAATGATCTTGAAAATGGTGCAGTACCACACCTATGCTTCAAAAAAGGGAACCTGGGTTCCTTATTAAGTTGAGATCTAAACATTGAAAAGTTTGAGGACTTTGCCTTTCCAAGGGAAGAAGGGCATGGCAAGACCCCCTTTCATCTCCAAGTACAGCATGAGGCCTCCCTGATTCAAGAGATCAGCACAGAAGGCTGAGTGCTCCTAGACAGACAATTTCTGCAACATGGAGTGGATGAAGGGAGAAGGTCTGCTGAAAGCTAAAGCCCATATCCCCCTAGGGATGGTGTTTCCTCCCCCCAAGAGCATGTCAGCCTATGGCTAGCTCTCTGCACGTTGAGAGTGTCTCCCTTGTGCTTTAGGTTCCCCAGAGTCCGTCTCCATGTAGTGGTCACACAGCATTAAGGAGCCCAGTGATCACTTCTCATCACCCTCAACACAAACCCACAAATTTCTGGGTGCCACTGAGTCCAGGCCCTGAACACACTCGGAATGTGCAACCTCTTCTACTCCTTCTTAACATCCATGGAGGAGAGATTATTCAGTCCTTCTGTTGTGACAAAATTCAGGCCACGGAAGGGGAGAGCACGGTCAAGGTGGCCCTCTCAGTAAGTGGTAATCTCGCCACTCTGTCTCCATGCCAAAAAGAGCTTTTACATGAAAAAACAGATCTTCTCCAAAGGTCAAAAAGACCCCCACACAGCTTTGCCCAGAGATGTGAAGCAGGTTTCTGTTTATACCTGATGTTCTGCTTCAAGCCATATTTCACAAATGTTTATGTAATTGATGCAATGTTTAATCTCTGAATCAGAATTAAGGAGTTTGTGAGCCAGATGTTATGGAATATAAAATTATGTATGCACTGGTCTTTCCATCTGAGACAGTTCCATATGTTCTGCATGCTTGTGACCCAGATTATGAAAAGTGTTTCCCAAGGAAATGCAAAGCAGACAGTATGTATGTTCCCTTCTACCAATGTCCACTGTGCAGTCAGAAGTGGGCTGCATGAGCCTGTAGTTTGAGCCCCTTTAAACATACACTTAACCCAGCCCCTGGCAACCACATTTCTGCTTTCTGTTTCTATAAATTTGACTACTCTAGTAACTTGTAGAGTTGTATCACATGTCAGAATTTCCTCTTTCCCTAAGGCTGAATAATATGCCATTGTATGCTTATACTGCATTTTTTTTTTTTTTTGCCCAAGTCATCCAACCATGCAAACTTGGGTTTCTTCCATCTTTTGGCTATTTTGAGTAATGCCATGAACATGGGTGTACAAATATCTCTTTGAAATCCTGATTTCACTTCTTTTCGATGTCTACCCAGAAGCAGAATTCTGGATCATCTAGCAGTTTTATTTTTGGAATTTTTTTAGGAATTAAGATACCGTTTCCCATAGCAGCTGCACCATGCTATTTCACACCAATAACGTACAAGTGTTCCAATTTCTCCACTTCCTCAACAACACTTGTTCTTTTTGTTTTGCTTTTAAGATTTATTTATCTATTTTAGAGACAGAGAGAGAACACGAGCAGGAGGGGCACAGGGAGAGGGAGACATAATCTCAACCTAACTCAGCACTCAGCGTGGAGCCTGATGTAGGGCTTGATCTCATAACCCTGAGATCATGACCTGAGCTGAAACCAAGATTTGGGATACTTAACTGACTCCCATCCAGGCACCCCTCTTTTTCTGTTTTTTGTTTGTTTGTTTGTTTGTTTGTTTTATGGTAGCCATCCTAACGGGTGTGAGGTAATATCTCAGTATGGTTTTAATTTGAATTTCCCTAATTATTAGTGATGTTGAACATCTTCTCATGTGCTCGATGGCCTTTTGTATATACCAAGGGAAATTGTTTAATGGATATAGAGTTTCAGTTTTACAAACTGAAGAAAAGCTCTGAAGAAAGTTTGCACAACTGTGTCAATACACTTAGCACCACTGAGTGGTATGTTAGAAATAGTTGAAATGGTCCGTTTTGTTTGTTTGTTTGTTTGTTTTGTTTTTTAAATGTTTTTTTTAATTTTTTTTATAAACATATATTTTTATCCCCAGGGGTACAGGTCTGTGAATCGCCAGGTTTACACACTTCACAGCACTCACCACAGCACATACCTTCCCCAATGTCCATAACCCCACCCCCCTCTCCCAACCCCCTCCCCCCAGCAACCCTCAGTTTGCTTTGTGAGATTAAGAGTCATTTACGGTTTGTCTCCCTCCCAATCCCATCTTGTTTCATTTATTCTTCTCCTACCCCCTTAACCCCCCATGTTGCATCTCCACTTCCTCATATCAGGGAGATCATATGATAGTTGTCTTTCTCCGATTGACTTATTTCGCTAAGCATGATACCCTCTAGTTCCATCCATGTCGTCGCAAATGGCAAGATTTCATTTCTTTTGATGGCCGCATAGTATTCCATTGTGTATATATACCACATCTTCTTTTTCCATTCATCTGTTGATGGACATTTAGGTTCTTTCCATAGTTTGGCTATTGTGGACATTGCTGCTATAAACATTCGGCTGCACGTGCCCCTTCAGATCACCACGTTTGTATCTTTAGGGTAAATACCCAGTAGTACAATTGCTGGGTCATAAGGTAGTCCTATTTTCAACATTTTGAGGAACCATGGAAACCATGGAAACCATGCTGTTTCCCAGAGTGGTTGCACCAGCTTGCATTCCCACCAACAGCGTAGGAGGGTTCCCCTTTCTCTGCATCCTCGCCAGCATCTGTCATTTCCTGACTTGTAATTTTAGCCAT